AGTGATGCACAGAGGTTACTCCTGGCTCAGGAATCATCCCTGGCAGTGCTCAGGGGACCATATGGGATGCTGGGAATCGAACCCGGGTTGGCCGCGTGCAAGGCAAACGCCCTACCTGCTGTGCTATCGCTCCAGCCCCTATCAGAACATTTTATATGAATAAGAATTCAGCACTGAATATGCAGCTCAATAATTGGTGAATGAATGGTTAAGTACCTGTCATACTATTATTCATTACAAAGATGTGAATTTATACTGTCATCAACAATGTATGAAAATTTAATAGAAAGTACTGTGCATGTTATATTTCTCAGTACAAATAGACTTTAACATTTCTATCTTTTCTATCTGGTAAAATATTATAAAAATTCTAATATTTTGACATTCAAATTACATCACTTAGTTTGCCTGTTACACTCATTACCTTTCACACCACACACACAAAATCTTAGAAATGATTGCCACTTAGCTATCAGGTTATTCCTATTTCTCAATAACATAAATTATAGAGAACAGGGAATATATTCAGTTTCTATATTCAAGGTAAACAAAGTTACTGAAATGGCTATTTCCTTTGAAGAGTTTTGGCAGCCTTGGCAGTCTCCACTGCTTTTTCCTGGTAAGTTATTATTTATTAGGCTATCCCTTATACTTTCATTTTTTATAATTTAGCTACCCTAAGTCAACCTCTGTCTGAAAATTTCACCTACAATAAATGTTTTGAGAATGAAAAATAAGTCACATACCTCTTATTACAGTAGCACTGCACTGTCCTCCCACTCATTGTTCATCAATTTGCTCGAGCGGGCACCAGTAATAGCTCCTGTCGTTACTGCTTTTGGCATATCGAATACGTCACGGGTAGCTTGCCAGGCTTTGCTGTACGGGTGAGATACTCTCGGTAGCTTGCCGGGCTCTCTGAGAGGGGTGGAGGAATCGAACCCAGGTCGGCCGCATGCAAGGCAAACGCCCTATCTGCTGTGCTATCACTCCAGCCCCTTATTATGGTATGCTGCTATAATTGTTCTATTTTATCATCATTTATTTTTGGTTCTTGGGCCAAACACCCAGCGATGCTCAGAGGTTACTCTGCCTCTGCACTCAAGAATCACTCCTGGAAGTGTTTGGGGATGGTGGGGATTGAGCCCGGGTCAGGTGCGAACAAGACAAGAACCCTTGCCACTGTACTATCTCCAACCCCTCATTAGTTATTGAATTACAGTTAAATGATATGCATCATACTCTATCAGTAACAGTACTGTAAAGCACAGTGCCTAAAAAGGAGCGAGGAGAGGAAAAAAGAAAAAGAAAAAAAATGCTTGTTATAGAGACAAGCTGGGAGGCTGAAGGGAAACTGGGGATTGGTGGAGGGAAGTGGGCACTGGTTAAGGGATTTGTGGAGGGAAGTGGACACTGGTTAAGGGGTTGGTGTTGCAACTCTTTAAGCCTGAAGCTAAATCACAAATAACTGTAATGTATGGTGATTCAAAAAAATTTATTTTTTGCTTTTTGAGTCACACCTGGAGATACACAGAGGTTACTCCTGACTTCGTACTCAGGAATTACCTCGAGCGATGCTCAGGGGACCATATGGGAGGGATTCTGGGAATCGAACCCAGATCGGCCGCAAGGCAAATAAATGCCCTACCCACTGTGCTAATGCTCGAGCCCCTCAAAAACATTTTAAAATGTTTTCTCAAGGGCCAGGGGTGTGGCTGAAGTGATAGAGCACAAGCCTTGCATGTCTGAAGTTCTGCCTTGGTCACACCTCTGAGTCCTGCAGTTGCTGAGTGTAGTCCCCATGACAATAGTGGGACCAGATCAATGAGCAAATAGATAAACTAAAAAACTTCTTTTAATTTACAGACATGAACTTTTTTTTCTTTGCCTCCCAAGCAGTCCTCAGGTGACCTGGGAGCTACCTCTGGTAATTTTCAGCAACCCAGCGAGTGACTCAATAAGAAGCTGATGCTGCGCTTAAGGGGTCTCCAGGACTACATGAAACCATGCCTGATCCCCCAGGTCATGCTGGGGATTGAACTGGTCTGGGCACATCTAAGTGATGTACCTTAATCCCTGTGCTATTTCTCTGGCCTGAGACAGCAGCTTTTCACAGGTACCACCTGTGATTTCAGGCATCCATTAGGATGAGGTGGTCTTGGAAGGTATCTCTTGCAGAGATGACTTCTGTCATTTTACGTTAGAAGGCACAGTCCCCATTATTATTCAATGTGTCATTCTTCTTCTAAAAGAAAATATGGGGGTATGGTGCTGCCAGCAGGTCAATCTGTACCTGTGAGGCGAGTGCATCAGCAACCTCATGGCGCCTTCAGACTTCCAGATACCCCAAAATTGCTGCTGTGCCTTTGGCCAGACCCCAAAAACTTGGGGCAAAGTTTACCAAGAAAGTAAATGGCCAAAAGTTAGGTATGTGGGAAACACACCCACAAACCACCTCCGGCTCAGCTATATAATTGGAGGCATGGCCTCTTTGGTTCCTGATTGAACTGCTTAATGGACATGATCCCAGAGACTCAGAAACGAATCTCAGAACCCAGTGGCTTTAGGTAGAAATGCGTCTGGTCTCTGCAGTAGGCTACCGGTGCTGGGTCAACCCAGGTGGGAATAGGTTTCGTGCCTTGGCCTGTTCCCCCTGGCGGCCCAGTGGCCGCCATCTGTCTGAGGCCACTGGATAGTCACATTTGGGCCCCCAGTGACGAGACACACAGGGCCTCACGGGATGAGGGTGGAGCCGGGCTTGTCCTCCCCACCCCAACGAGACCCCAAGTCATCGCCCATGAATGGCCTCTCTGGCTCCTGATCAAGCTGCTTAACGGCCAGGATCCCAGAGACTTAGAAACAAATCTCAAAACCCAGTGGCGTTTGGCAGAAATGCATCCAGACTCCACAGTATGTTACTGTCGCCGGGCCACCCCAGGGAGGAAAGGGTGTTGTCCTCCGCCTGCTCCCTCTTGGCGACTTGGTGGCTGTCGTCCTCCAGAGGCCATTGGACAGTCAGGCTTGGGCCCGCAGTGACGAAACTTGTTGGGTCTCACGGGATGGGGTGGGGAGGTGGAGCCGGGCCTGTCCTCCCCACCCTAACGAGACCCCAAGTCATCGCCCACAAACGGCCTCTCTGGCTCCTCATCAAGCTGCTCAACGGCCTTGATCCCAGAGACTCAGAAACAAATCTCGAAACCCAGCGGCTTTTGGCAGAAATGTGTCCGGACCCCGCAGTAGGTTACTGTCACCGGGCCACCCCAGGGGGGAATGGGTGCTGTCCCTCCGCCTGCTCCCTCTTGGCAACTTGGTGGCTGTCATCCTCTAGAGGCCATTGGACAGTCAGGCTTGGCCTGCAGTGACGAAACTTGTTGGGTCTCACAGGATGGGGGGGGGAGGTGGAGCCGGGCCTGTCTTCCCCACCCCAATGAGACCCCAAGTCATCGCCCACAAATGGCCTCTTTGGCTCCTCATCAAGCTGCTCAATGGCCATGATCCCAGAGACTCAGGAGCAGATCTCTAAACCCAGTGGCTTTTGGCAGAAATCCCTCCAGAATTAAGTGTTAAAATTTCAGAATTTCAAAACCACATGGCCCTACTGCAGCCACACGACATCATATGTTATTCATAACCAGCAATAGAACACAAATTGTCTATTGTTGCCTTTTCAGCAGATCTGAGTGTTGGGGTAAAATCTTAAATAATGGTGGGTCTGGTGTCGAAATAGTGAATGTGATCAAAGTAGAGAGAGAGTAATGTTGAAATCATCTGCCCCACAGGCAGGGGGAGGGTGTGGGATGGGGATATACTGGGATTTTTGGTGGTGGAGAATGGGCACTGGTGAAGGTACGGGTGTTTCATTGTATGACTGAGACTTAGACCCAAAAGCTTTGTAACTGCTCTCAAGGTGATTCAATAAATAAAATTTATAAAAAATAAATAAATAAATAAAAGAAAATAAAACAAATGAAGGACACAGACCTGGTTAAAGTAGTAAAATTTATGTGATTTGCATTTTTCAAAAAAAATTGCAGTCCTCTCAAACTTGTAATAGTTGTTTTTTTAAAATGTTTTATTTATTGATTTTTGCTTTTTGGGTCACGCCCAGCGATGTTCAGGGGTTGCTCCTAGGTCTGCACTCAGGAATTACTCCTGGGGGTGCTTGAGGACCATATGGGATGCCAGGGAATAGAACCCAGGTCAGCCGCATGCAAGGCAAATGCCCTACCCACTATACTATCGCTCCGGGCCCATAATAGTTATGTTTCAATATTTATGTTTCAAATATTATATTTACTACATGTACTAAAGACAGCACAAGGATGAGACTTGTTTTTTTTTGGAAAGGAGCCTTTAGAAAATCCCAATTTTATTAAGGTTCCATGAAGCATGGTGATATTATGCCTTAATAAAAGGTCACTATTGTTTGCCGCCTCTGGTCTCTTTCATAGCCCAACCTGATGTTACTTATAGTCACATAACTCTGGAGTTTGTTGCTGTTCCACCATAATGAACTGTGGTGGTTGTGAGCGACCCCTTGCAAGTTTCTCCTTTCTACTGTGGCCCAGGCAGTAGAGCCCAGCTGACTGCTGGGTAAGTAACAGCAATTTCTCTCTCTCTCTTTCTTCTCTCTCTCTCTCTCTCCTCTCTCTCTCTCTTTCTTTCTTTTGAGACACACTCAGCAATGCTTAGGGATTGTTCACTCCTGGTGGGCTTAGGGGACTATACAGGATGCCAGGGATCGAACCCGGATCGACTGTGTGGAAAGAGAGTGCCTTACAGCGTACTATTGTTCTGGCCCCAATGGTTGCGATCTATTCTTATTAAGAATTAAGAATTAAGAAAGAGAAACTGTTTTATGACAATTTTTTTTACTTATCAGAGTTTTAAGGATGTCAACATTTCCAGATGCTAATGTACAACACAAAAGCAAAAATACACTTTTTTATATTTATGAAAAAATAGTTTGTGATGAGCTGTTAAGAAAAATGTAGAAATTTTTATTGTTGAAACCCTTTGAAACTTTTCCGTTTTCTTTTATCTCCTATCTCTGTATTACTTTCACTGGAACTCAAAGAAGTGTATGCGGAATGGTGGAAGGAATTTCTATTCATGTGGGCATCATATAATCTTAAGTCCTTTGAGGAAAGTAACTCTTGGCAAATATTCCAGGACCATGAATAAGTAGAAAAAGTATCATAGAAGGCTTCATTTTTAGCTTCTAACCCAATCAAATCCCCTCGTATCTTCCGCCAGAGGTTTAACATTTCTTTTCGATGTTCAAGAGCAATTCCTAAGTTATAGTTATCTGTAGCTCTCTTTACCTGTAATGGGAGAGCAGAGTTTTACAGTTGTTGCATCTTTTACCTGTAGACCTTAATTATACATATATAGATTATGCTTATCTCAAGTTACTTAAAAGGAACTTAATGCACATGTTCAAGGTAGTGCCTCTTGAGGACACATGAATTTGGAGTTAACTGAGAATAAAACATTTATTACATATGAATAAAATAACAAGACAATTGTATTAATATTGATAACAAGGGATTCCAGAGATTGGCTCTGGATATAACAGGGGTGCCATGGTGGGCCTCATTTCAGCCTAGGGTATAAAGGAACAAGATGGGGGGCCGGAGCCATAGCACAGCGGGTAGGGTGTTTGCCTTGCACATGGCCAACCTGGGTTTGATCCCTGGCATCCCATGTGGTCCCCTGATTAGTACCAGGAGTAATTCCTGAGTGCAGAGCCAGGGGTAACCCCTGAGCATCGCTGGGGTTAAAAAGAAAAATAAATAAATATAAAATTAAAAATAAAATAAAGGAACAAGATGTCAAGCTGAGAGGATCCTGAAGGATGTGGGTATGTGAGAGGAAGAAGTCCTGAAGCATTTAATCAAATTGAGGGAGAGTGGGTGGAGACAGAAAGGTGTTCCAGGAGGGGAAAACACAAACAGACCCAAAGGCAATAAACACCTTGGAGGGGCTGGAGAGATAGTCAAGAAGGCATTTGCCTTGCATGTAGTCAACCTAGATTTAATCCCTAGCACCGTATGTATATGGTTCTTAGCCTTCCAGGAGTGATTCCTGAGTGCAAAGCCAGGAGTAAGCCCTAAGCACAGCCAGGTGCGGTTCAATGAAAACAAACAGACTGGAAAAAAAAACACCAGAAAAAAGAGAAGAAAATCAGGCTACAGTAAGCCACTCCTCTCTCCCTTCCTTCCCTCCTTTCTTCCCTCCTTCTTTCCTTCCCTCCTTTCTTTCCTCCCTCCTTCCTTCCCTTCCTTCCCTTCCTTCCTTCTCTCCCTCTCCCTTCCTCCCTTCCCCTTCCTCCCTCCCTCCTTCCTATCCTTCCTTCCTCCCTTCCTTCCTTCCTTCCTTCCTTCCTTCCTTCCTTCCTTCCTTCCTTCCCTCCTTCCTTCCTTCCTTCTTTCATACCGTGAGATACAAAGATAAAAAGTTGTTCATAATTGGGTTTCAGTCATATGATATTCCACCACACATCCCTTCACCTGTGTACACTTCCCACCACCAATATCCCTAGTGTTTCTCCCCCCTCCCCAATCCTTCCTCTAGAGCCACTGTTTATTATGGACAAGAACTAACTTCCTCAATTGTGTGGAGCAGAAAGCATAGCTGAGAAACCCTGCTATCATTGAGAGGGAAGGGTTTGTTTTAAGCAGGAAAGTAATAGGGTTGGCTCTTTTAGGAGATCATTGTAGAATAGGTGCTGGGGAGCACCTATGGGCAGGGATAGCAGAATAGAGGCTGTGGTCCAGGCATGCCCTTATTAAGGGGTTCAATTAAGACAGTAGTGATAGGACGGAGTGAAAGAAGAAGGTTGGAAAACTCCAGGAGAACAAGAGTAGCCACATTTGGCTGGCTGTGGTAGGGAGTGAAGAAAAATCTTAAGTTAAGGTTAGTTCCTGGCCTTCCAGATTCAGGAGCGGATAGCATCAACAACTGAAATACCCAAACTCCACAGATAAGTTCAGTCTTGGACATGTTGACATGTCTGTGTTGATATGCTATGAGACAGTGAGCTAGAAATGTACATTAGTCCATGAGCCAAGTCAGAAATACTAGGGGCAGGTAGGGCTTTTGCCTTGCATGTGGCTGACCCAGGTTCAATCCCTGGCACCCCACATGATCCCACTGAGCCTGCTAGTAGTGACTCCTGAGTGCAGAGTCAGGAGTCAGCCCTGACAACTCTGGATGTGGTCCTAAAATCAAAATTAAATCAAACTCAAACCAAAGAAATACTAGAATAAAGTTTTGGCTAGTGACAGATTTAAGAAGTATCAGCAGCTGAAATAAGATATAGGTAGAGAGCCCCAAGTGCGCTTGCCCTAGCTGTTCCTACACATAACTAGAGGGTCTCTATGGTCTGCTGCAACTGTTACAGGGATGCCAAACGAGCCATCTTTTTTTGTTTTTGTTTTGGAGTTTTTAATTTTGATTTTTTGACTCGTATCCAGCAGTGCTGAGGGACTATTCTTGGCTCTGTGCTCAGGAATTATTCCTGGTAAGCTTGGAGGACCTTATGAGATGCCAGGGATTAAGCCCAGGTTGCCAGTGTGCAAGGCAAGCACCTACCTACAGTACTTTCTCTCCCACCCCTTAAATGTCTTATTTCTTGGGGCAGCTGAACTATAGACAGCACCCACTGTCTGCAGTATGAATCTATCATGATGAGACAAAGAATGGGCACCCACATTTTTGTGTTCTTATGCCCTGCAGTACTGAATACCTGTGGTTCCTTCTATCCAGATGTAATAGTACTGCTCATTTCTTCTTTAATCTTTTCTCTAGTTTTTGGGAAACACCTTGGGAGTCCATGAAGTGTTTAGGATTGAGTCTGGAACTCCTGCATACAAAGCATGTGCTCCAACCCTTTGAGCCTCTCCTCAGCGCCGACTGTTTCTTTCTCATATTTCTTTCTCCCTATCCTTCAACCCTCACCCTTAAATTCTGTACATTTTTATTTTTCCCTTGTGCTATATCTTAATCTCAGAACTTTGTCAACAGTGAAAAAATGAAATGGCATATGCTGAAAAAATGAAATGGCATATGCTGAAAAAATATTTTTTATAGTAGAGCTACATCCAGCAATGCTTGGGGGTTACTCTTGGCTCTGCACTCAGGAATTACTCCTGGTGGTACTCAGGGAACCACATGGGATACCAGGGGTTGAATCCAGTTCAGCCAAGTGTAAGGCAAGTGCCCTATCTGCTATACTATCACATCAGTTCAGTCTTATACTATGCTCTTAAATTATTTTATAGTTACCTTTTTGTTTGTTTGGGGGACACACCCAGCAGTGCTCAGGGGTGACTTCTTGCTCTGTGTTCAGAGTTCACCCCTGGCAGTGGTTGGGGAACCATATGTGTTCCTGGGGTATTGAACTGCTATTGACTGCATGAAGGCAAGCACCATAACCCTTGTAATATTTTTACAGTCCAATTACTACTTTAATTATATTACTTCATAGCTGTGTGCTTTGGGTAAGTCCTTTAACCTCTCAATGCTTATCTATAAAATGACAAAGAATGATAACACTGCTAACAACCAAAAGATTGCTGTGATGAGTGAAGTACTGCCTGGGGAGCATTTGTTTCTTCACAGGATCTGGCACCTATAAAGCACACATAAACTATTATTCTCTTAGATGCTATAATAAAGATGCTTTCACTCACCACTCACTGTAACCACTCACGTATGTCTACCATCTTAATTAGCTGCTGTTTCTAGAATGAAGCAAATGAATACCCTCAAAAAAGGTGCTGGGGATTATGTCCATAAGATGCTCATGGGTGATTAGCAATAGGAACTGGAACAGTTAATGAATCCTTGTGATGATGATTATACAGTAAAGATGTCATCACAATAGGCGAAAATAAGAAACGATCTTTCCTTATGGTAAAGAGAGTGTAGATATCAAGTCCTTGGTTATGGCAGTAGTATTGAGCAAATGTTTTTGTCACTGCTTTCTGGGAAGGTACTCAACAGTGAGTACTCACCTGCTGTTTGATCGCTGCTGCATCAGCCACTGTCCAATGGGACTTTTTCTTGAACATATGGCTAATGGCAAGAATTTCAGGTGGATAGCCTGAAGTAGCACTAATAGGTTTTAAGTGTGCTGCCTATATGAAAATTTAAAACAGAAGATTAGTAACGCATTTTAGTTTGAATTACATAACATACAATAGGGCTAGAGCGATAGCACAGCGGTAGGGCGTTTGCCTTACAAGCGGCCAACATGGCTGACCCGAGTTCGATTCCTCTGCCCCTCTCGGAGAGCCTGGCAAGCTACCGAGAGTATCTCGCCCACACGGCAGAGCCTGGCAAGCTACCCATGATGTATTCGATATGCCAAACACAGTAACAACAAGTCTCGTGATAGAGACGTTACTGGGCCCGCTTGAGCAAATCGATGAACAACGGGAGGACCGTGACCGTGAACATACAATAAATAAACACAATGAAAGGATTTGTATATGATGTATAAAGTTATTGTTACACACTTTCAGTTGTCTGTGGACATCAGGTTATAGGGACATTTGTAAAAGAACCATTACCACATTTTCTTTCATACAATGATCTATTGATAAAACAAATATAAATCAGAAGACATTTTATGGAATGGATTTGAAGGGTAGAGGAGTCAATTCCATCCTCACCAAATTTTCTAAGGCATCATAAAGCACTGAAAACAAATGCATACAAGAGTAAAACCTACATTATTTGTAAACTTCTCTGGAAGTTTACAAGTAATGTACGTTCTCTTGTGGTGTTTGTTTTCCTTTTCTGCTGGTCAAATCTGGTAGAAATCACAGAAACAAACAAACAAACAAAAAAGAAATCACAGAAACAGACCTATTGCTTTCTCTGGAAATGCATGTCAGCCTCAGCCCGGGACCTCAAGTACTACTTGATGCAACCTTTCTCTTTTGCTGCTGTTAACTCTTTATACAGTGACTGCAAACACCAAACTTTGGAACTCTCTAAACTAATGAGCTTTTTCATTTCAAGTTTATCTAATGAACATTAATTCTATCTTGTGTGTGTGACCATATGTGGTACCAGGGATCAAATGGGTCAGTGTATACAAGCTTAGCAGAGCCACTGCTGCTGTCTTGAGACTAGACAGAGGATTTCAGGGTGTAGTGGGTAGGGTACTTGCTTTGCACAGGGCACTTGGGTTCTATCCCCAGTACTTCATATGGTCCACTCAGTCACACCAGAGTGATCCCTCAGTGCCAAGCCAGGAGTTAGCCCTGAGTACTGCCGAATGTGGTCCCAAAACTTCACTTAATCACTTAACTTCCCATTAGTCGTCGATTTGCTCGAGCGGGCACCAGTAACGTCTCCATTTGTCCCTGTCGCGTGCTAGTGTAGCCCAATGGCATCTGTTCGCTCTGGGAACATGAAGAGCCTCAAACCAATCGTTCATGATCTTCACGAAGAAGTCTGACCATCTGGTAGGTGGGTGGCCATGTGGTCTTTTGACATCCTGTGGAATCCAGTCAGTAACAGCTCTAGTCCAGCGGTCGTCTTTAAATCTCATTACGTGACCAGCCCATCTGATTTTTGACACCTTGGCAAATGAGACAGCGTCCCTGATTCTTGATCGTCGACGGATGTCAGAACTTCAGATTTTTTCTCTCATTTGAGTGAAACGTGATACTCCAAGCATAGCTCTTTCTATTCTTCTTTGGGAGACCTGAATAGCGTTCTCATCCTGTTTGCGTAGGGCCCAGGTCTCTGAGGCATATGTTAATGCAGGAAGAACAGTGGAATCAAAGAGATGTGCCCGGAGCCGGAGGTTCTTCGTCCTCTTAGCTATTTCTTCGACGTTCTTGAAGGCGTTCCAAGCCGCTCTCTTCCTCCTGCGCAGCTCAGGTGCCAGGTCATTTGTCATGTTGACTTCTCGACCTAGGTACACATAGCTGTTGCATTCGGAGATGGTCGTTCCGTTGAGCGCAAATGGGGCATCAGGAACGAGGCTGTTTCTCACAAACATTGTCTTCGTAAGATTCAGCTGTAGTCCTACCTTTCCACACTCACGGTCAAAGTCGGCCAGCATTTGTGCCGCTTGGCTGATGTTTGGTGTTATTAAAACAATGTCATCAGCAAAACGGAGGTGGTGTAATTGCCGACCATCTATCTTCACTCCCATTCCTTCCCGTTCCAGTCGTCGCATGATGTTCTTGAGGGTGGCACTGAAGAGTTTCGGTGAAATGGTATCACCCTGCCGAACCCCTCTCTTGACATCAACGATCACTTCTTTGTAGAATGGTGAGATCCTGGTAGTGAATCCGCAATACAGCTCATGGAGGATCTTGATGTATGGGGCTTGAATGCCCTGATTGGCTAGGGCTTCAATGACCGCTTCCGTCTCAACAGAATCAAAGGCCTTCTTTAAATCAATGAACGTTAAACAGAGCGGCATCTTGAACTCCCGAGAAACCTCAATGAGTTTGGTTATTGTGTGGATATGGTCGATGGTGCTGAATCCTTTGCGGAACCCAGCTTGCTCGCATGGTTGTCCTTCATCTAGTGTTCTGTCAATCCTATTTAGGATGACTCGAGTGAACAACTTGTAGATGACAGACAATAGGCAGATCGGGCGATAGTTGCCAATGTCATGGATGTCTCCCTTCTTGAACAGTAGTACGGTCCTGCTGGTTTTCCACTGGGACGGAACCTTGCATTCAGACAGGTAGCGAGTGAAGAGCCGAGCCAGTGTATTGATGAGTACTGATGGCAGGTTCTTCAGGTGTTCAGGTCTGACCTTGTCTGGGCCGGGTGCTGTTTGTTTCTTTACCGATGAAATGGCGTGTCGGATTTCGATTTCGGAAGGGAGAACGTTGGGAACGACATATCCATCCTGTGGAATTTGGTATGTCGGCAAGTGGACATGGCTATCGAAGAGATTTGAGTAGAAGTCATGGATAATCTTCTCCATTGCCGTTCTGGAGGATGTGATGGATCCATCAGGACGTCGGAGGGCAGTCATCTTGGTCTTGTAGTTGGCGAAGGACAGGCGGGCGTTACGAATACTTTTCCCAGCTTCTGCCGCATCTACCAGTACTTCTGCTCTTCTCTCTTTGAGGTCTTCCTTGATCGCATCTCTGCACTGCTTTGCGAGCTCGGACGTTAGCTTGCGGTTGCCTGAGGCATGCGCCAAACCATGCTGGCGAATTAGCTCAAGAGTTTTCGAAGAAAGGCTTTTTTTGTGGCTAGTAACTACAACTGGTCTCATTCACCTGACCCTGAAGATCCCAAAACAAACAAAGAAAAATAAAACAGGGGCTGGAGCAATAGCACAGTGGGTAGGGCATTTGCCTTGCACGCGGCCAACTTGGGTTCGATTCCCAGCATCCCATATGGTCCCCTGAGCACCGCCAGGGGTGATTCCTGAGTGGAGAGCCAGGAGTAACCCCTGTGCATCGCCAGGTGTGACCCCAAAAGCAAAAAAAAAAATTAAACAAATAAATAAAAATCTGGATGGAGGATTTCTAGTTTCTAGGGATCCCTCAGTGAAAAAATAAAGTCCTTGCTTAAGTGAACCTTATATTCTAGTTGGAAAATTTACAATAAACTATAATTACAATAGCACTGTAGCACTGTCCTCCCATTGTTCATTGAATTTGCTGAGGGGGCACCAGTAACATCTTCATTGTGAGACTTGTTATTACTGTTTTTGGCATATCGAATATGCCACGGGGAGCTTGCCTGGCCCTGCCATGCAAGCGGGATACTCTTGGTAACTAATTGGTCTCTCTGAGAGGGACGGAAGAATCGAACCCGGGTCGGCCGCTTGCAAGGCAAATGCCCTCCCCACTGTGCTATCGCTCCACAATTACAATAAATAGGTAAATACTGCAGGTAAAGAGTTTAATGCAATAAAGTAATTTAAAGTAATGCAAAACATTCTTTCATTTCCTTTTGTCATGGTATTTGTCTAAGGGTATCACTTCATCTAGAGAGATAGAAACTTCCTCTGGGATTTTGTGTGTGTGTGTGTGTGTGTGTGTGTGTGTGTGTGTGTGTGTTGTGATAAGAACACAATGGCAACAACAAATATGATGGCAAAGGGTTGAAAGATGGTACAAAGGTTAAGGCACTTTCATTTTGTTTTGGGGGGCTGCTCCTGGCCATGCTCAGAGCTTACTCCTGCTCTGCACTCAGGGATTGCTCCTGGAGGTGCTCAGGGGAGCAAATGGGGTGCTGGGGATCAAGTCTGGGTCTGATGCATTCAAGGCAAGCACCCTACCTACTGTATGATTGCTCCAGCCCTTAAGGTTCTTATTTGCACGCTGTGACCCCTGGTTTGATCCCCATGTGGCATAGTCACTCTTAAGCACAGAACCAGAAATAGCTTCTGAGAGTCACTGGGTGTGCCCACACCAAAACAAACCAAACCGAGCCCCCCAATACTACATGAAATCTACCCATACTAACAATTTTTGAGTCATTACTGTATTCTTAATTATAGGCACACTGTTTTTAGTTGCTCTCTGAAATTTATTTTGCATAATTGAAAATTTATGTGTATTGATTAGCAACTTTCTATTTCTCCCTCGCCCAGTTTTTGGGGTTCTTAAATCCTATGACTAGAAGGAAGGCAGTTTTAGGGGAACCTGAATGATGTGAGCAACAGATGGACCTCTGGAACCCAAAGATGCTCACAGGGTGGTTTATCTGTGGGTAAAAATCTCACAAATATTGATCCTATGACCAGTGAGGGAATCCTGTGACAAACCTGTGTAAAACCAGAAATACCAGAAACTAGGACAAACTCACCAGAGATCTTAAAACACATGACAGTTGCATGTATCTTGGGAAGGGGACAAATAATGACAGGCAACCAAGGTTGAAAAGGATGCAAATGTGCTCCCGGAGTATAAATAGGTAGTGTAGTGATGTACCACACCTGGTGGTACATCACTACACTACCCCACCAACTTGTGTGGCTGATCTTGTCATTCTGTGATTGTCTGACCCAATCATGATCTAGAGCCAGTAGATGAAGATGAAAAAGAAGCTTCCAGGGCCAAAGATATAGCTCAGAAGGCTAGCGTGCATGCTTTGTGTACAAAGGCACGGGTTCCATCCCTGGCACTACATGGTCACCTGAGCACTGTCAGGAGTGACTGCCAAGTGCTGAGGTAGGCGTAGTCCTGAGCATCACTGGGTGTGGCTCCCTAACAAAAACCAAACACATTTTTAAAAAGTGAAGCTTTAAAATAATGCAGGGGGCTGGGGAGATAGCACAGCGGGTAGGGCATTTGCCTTGCACACAGCCGACCCAGGTTTGATTCCCAGCATCCCATATGGTCCCCTGAGCACCACCAGGAGTAATTCCTGAGTACATGAGCCAGGAGTAACCCCTGTGCATCGCTGGGTATGACCCCAAAAGCAAAAAATATATAAATAAATAAAATAATGCAGATTTGGTTCTCTGGGAATGCAGTTCAAGGCAGAATCCAAGAGCTTTTTTTTTTTAAATATTCCTATTTAATCCTATAATCTTATTTATTTGTTATATTTCTTAACCCAATATCAAACCCAGTTTTGTATTTTTTATGTTTTTTTAACCTATATATTTTTTGTTTGGAGTCACACCTGGTGGTACTCAGGTGGTGGTACTCAGGTACTCACTCTTGGAGGGCTTGGGGGACCATATGTAGTGCCAAGGATTGAACCCAGGTCTGCTGTATGCAAGGCAAGTCTCCTATCTTCTGTATTATCAGCCCTCCAGCCCTCCTATCTATCTTTCTAATGAAGAATGGAGCACTTAAATCTCCATACGTTTGTTTACTGTGCCTTTCTCTGAGGACCCTCCCAAACTGACTTTTTCTTATTTTTCCAATGCCCTTCCTAATCTTTGTTTTCCTTATTTTACTAAATTTTTTTTGAATTTTGGGTCACACCCCATGGTGCTCTGGATTTTCTCCTGGTTTTGTACTTATAGTCATTGCAGGCATGCTTGGGGGGGGTGGCATATATAGTGCCAGATATCAAACTGGGCATGACCACATGCAAAGCAAGAGCCTTAACAGAAGTACTATCATTCTGTCCCTCTAAATTTTTAAAAATTTACTGGGTGTGGAGGGGTTGGTGGGAGGCCTGGGGCCTGTCTGTAATGCCTGGTTCTGTAACTCAGTGCTCATGGGCTCCACTGTACCCCGAATCCGGTGATACATACATACAGGGGTACATGTATGGTGGTGCTCGGGGGAGGGGGGGAAGTGGTGCCAGGGTTACAACCCAGGGACCTGCACATGCTGCAAATATGCTCTACCACTTTTTGTTTTTTTTTTCTTTTTGAATCACACCCGGTGTTGCACAGGGATTACTCCTGGCTCATGCACTCAGGAATTACTCCTGGCAGTGCTCGGGAGACCATATGGGATGCTAGGAATCGAACCTGGGTCGGCTGTGTGCAAGGCAAATGCCCTACCCACTGTACTATCGCTCCAGCCCCCTGCTCTACCACTTTGAATCATATCCACAATTCTGGTTTCTACTTCCAATTCTAATAACTAGAACATTCTTGTTTTCCCTTTCCCCTCAATACCTGTCTAAGCCTTCTTAATCTGGTGTTTGAAGACTTGTAAATGAGTTAATTCAGTTTTTCTGGATATATATATATATACATATTGAATATGCCATGGGTAGTTTGCCAGGCTCTGCCGACTATATTTATTTAATATATTATTTAATTTCATTAATTAATTATTTATCTATTTTCAACTATTTATTGAAACTAAATATTTATAAGTGGGCTTAAATTTAGAACCATGGCTATGGAATCTGGGTTTGATATACCTAAAAATACTTGTCATTTAAAAGCATGTTATTCAAGTCATCATGAACAACTTTGTAAAAGACAGTGTTTTTATAAAACATAAGGGGAAAAATTAAACAAAAAATTAAATAAAAGCATGTTACTAGTTCTGTTAAATTAGAACCTAAAAAATCAAGTATATAGGGCCATGATCCCAGAGGCACACAAACCAATCTCGGAACCCAGCAGCTTCTGGTAGAAATGCTGCTGAACTGTGAACTAAGGTATGGCCCTGTGCTGCCCTGGGAGGGGAAATGTGTTTGTTTCTCCACCTTTTTCTCCTTGGCAGCAGCATGGTGACCACCATCTTTCAGAGCCTATTGGACAGAGAGGTACGAGCTTGCAGTGATGGGGCGCAGGGCCTCTTTGGATGGGGGCCGGAACCACCCCTTCTCCCCGCCTGTAGAAGACTCCAAGTTGCCGCCTACGAATGGCTCCTCTGCTCCTGAACGGCCATGATCCCAGAGGCACAAAAAAGCAATCTCGGAACCTGGCAACTTCTGGCAGAAATCCCTCTGGACTTAATTACTAAAATACCAGAAATCAAAAATCACATGGCCACTATTGCAGCTATGCAACATCAAATGTTCTTCATTATCAGCAACAGAAAAAAATTATCTAATTATGCCTTTTTGGCAGGTCTGATTGTTGGGGGAAAATTCCAAATAATAATAGTGGGTCTTCTGTCAAAAAATTGAATGTACTCAAAGTAAAGAGAGAGTAAAGTGAAAATCATCTGCCACACAGGCAGCAGGAGGGGTGGGATGGGGGGTGTACTGGGGTTCTTGGTGGTGGAACATGTGCGCTGGTGAAGGAATGGGTGTTTGATCATTGTATGACTGAGACTTAAACCTGAAAGCTTTGTAACTGTTCTCACAGTGATTCAACAATAAAAAAAAGTCTCTGATACCAAAAAATAAACCAAGTATTTATATGAACATGCGACTAATTTAAATCTCACCTGTGTTTTCCAGTCTCTTTTATGGAAAAAATAGTTCTCAAAGAAATTCAAAGGCTCCTTTCTCCTTAGCATTTCAAATTTATGTAGGTCTCTGAATGGTTTTCCCATCACCAGTGCACCCACATTGGGGAGCAATGGAAAAACGGGTATTTTTGAATATGGGCTGTCTGAAGTAGAATTGCATCCTAAAAAAGCAACAATGGCATCACAAATGAGGTAAGGAGAAATTAATACTTAAAACACAACTTCCTGTTTTGCTTTGTCTATTCTCCTCAGTGCCCAGAATCCACCTTCTTCACATGCCACCTCCCACTCACCCACAGTCTTGAGGTTTCATCTGGGTGTCGTAGAATTCAAGTAGGGCAATGTTTGCTTTCACATGATACACATAAGACAGTCACTCAGAGTAGGGAGTGGTTCTGCTTTTACAGAGCCACTTTCCATTGGTATGTATTTGTAATTAGTAATATGGAAATAAATCTGAAAAACACTGGTTTCGGGAGATGGTTAAAGTGAAGGAGCTCATGTTCTGCCTTTGTTCCTCAGCACTGTATCCCCCTCACCCTCTGTTGGGTGTGACATCCACTCAGAGAAAAAAATAAAGAAAGACAAAAAAGACTTTACAACACCGGAGAGAGGACATAACGGCTCTTACTCTTGAGTTCTTCCAGAAATTTAAATAAATCCGTTTCTTTCATTATCGATATCCGGGCAGCATTGGCAAAGGCAGCTGTGCTTGAGTGTGGAGGTGTACAGATGTCTGACTTAAATCTCCTTCTTGAATAATCTGTAGCATAGGAACTCCATGCTATTCCTGAGGTACTCTCCTGGAGTTTTCTTCGGAAATACCTTTAAGAATAAGAATCCAGAAATGGATCAAGTTTTGTAGCTCTGGATCTGGGGAGTTAGCTCAGTAGCTAAGCACCTGTCTTGCATAAGTGGCACGGTATTCAGTTCCTAGAACTGCTTCATATCACCAAGTGCCACTTTTGGCCTGGTTGGAGTTGTGCACGCTACCGCAGCAAAAAATGAAAGGGAGGAGGGAAAAAGTCCTTAAGTCCTGCTGAAAAGTGCTTGAGAGTTGGATACAAAGAAAAAAAAGTTAAGTCGCAACTTATATGTGTTGGATAAGTTTATTTTAAACTTAATTTGTACATTCATTCAATATTGTTTATTGAGTGCCTATTTTTGTGACATTGTAGTGACCAGGTCACTGGTCTATTTTATGTTTATACCTCTGGGCTTTGACTTTCTTCCTTTTTCCCAAGACCTCCAAGTCTTTTTTTTTTTTTTTAAACTCAGGGTCTCACAGATGCTAGGCATCTATTCTACCACTGAGCTATCTCCCTGGTCCTGGCTTTGTGTATATTTATTATTTTGAAAATTAGGGTTCAGAGTTATGGTACAGTAGGCAGGGCACTTGCCTTGCACGCAGCTGACCTGGGATATATTCCCTGCAGCCCATGATCCTGCCAGGAGTGATCCCTGAGTGCAGAGCCAGGGGTAAGGTGACTATTTATTTTCTCCATTTCTCTCTTACAGCGGGCTGAAGCAATAGCACAGTGGGTAGGGCATCTGCCTTGCACGTGGCCAACCCTGGTTCGATTCCTCCACCCCTCTCGGGGAGCCCGGCAAGCTCCCGAGAGTATCTCTGCTCACACAGTAAAGCCTAGTAAGCTACCCATGACATATTCAATATGCCAAAAACAGTAACAGCAAGTCTCACAATTTGTTGTGAAATGTTACTTGTGCCCGCTCGAGCAAATCGATGAACAACAGGAGGACAGTGACAGTGACAGTGATGGTATATATCTCACATATCTTTTGTTAAGCTGACTCCTTAATGGTTAACTTAATGGTTTTGGATACTATTTTAAATAGGGATAGACTCCTTGATCACTTTCTCCTCTGTTTCATTCTTTGTATATAAGAATGCAACTAATTTTTGATGTATTAACTTTGTAGCTGAGCACTTTGCTGTATTGTTTTCTTGTTTTAAGGAGCTTATTTGAAATACCACAAATTTAAAATATCCTTTGGTGGAACAGAGAAATATCTCAATGGGCTGGTGTGCATGCTTTGCGTGCAGGAGGACTGTATTCCCTTCCTGGAACTGCATGTTCCCCTGACCACTATCAGGAGTTAGGAGTGAACCCCTAAGCATGCTTGGGTGGGCCAAGAACAACAACAACAAAACAAAACATATGCATATATTATTTTGTTCCTCAGTAGGTAATCTCTTCATAATACCCTATTTCTCTGTCAGATGTGGAACAGAGGATACACAAAATTCTACCCTTAATTCTAATTCAAAGGAGATTTTTGCAAGCTAAAAAGAGATAGAAGACCTTACAAGTGGAAAAATATCCCATGGTCATAGATTTGAAAAATCAATGTTATTGAAATAACTATCCTACCTAAACTATTATATAGATTCAATGCAATCCCCATCCAAATTCAGAGGATATTTTTCCAGAATTTAGAAAAGTTAGTAATAAAGTTTGTATAGAATCAGAAAAGACTACAATTAGTCAAACCATACTAAAAAATAAGAAACTGGGAGATATACCATTAACTATATTATGAAGTTATTGTGACCAAAACCTCATGGTGCTGTAATTAAGACAGACCACCAGAACAGTGGGTTAGAACTGAATACCTATGACAAAACCCCATGTATATGGGAAACATGAGCAGCTAATTTTTGACAAAGGAGCTGAGAACATGAAACGAACTATAGAGTCTCTTCAACAAATGGTGCTGGGAAACATGTAAGAAATTAAAGCTAGATCCATTTCTTATACCTCACACAAAAGTCAATTCAAAGTGCACTGAAGACCTGGAGATACGACCAGAAGCTATAAAGTACACTGAGGAAAATATAGGCAGAACACTTCAAGATTTGGACTTCAAAGGTTTCCTCAATGATCTGGTACCACTGGTAAATGCAACATAATAAAAAAATAAATAAATGGGACTGCATAAAGTTAAAGAGCTTCTGCATGGCAAAAGAAACATGGACTAAAACTAAAAGATAGCTAACTGAATGGGAAAAAATATTTGCATTCAACATATAAGATAAAGGTCTGATATCAAGAATACATAAAGTATTCACAAATATCAACAACAACAAAACAAAATTAAAAAACCCTGCCCAAAAAATGGGTAAAGGAAACGAACAGAGAAAGACAGGCAGGTTCTTAGCAGGCACATGAAGAAATGCTCAGCATCACTTTTCATCAGAGAAATCTAAATCAAGATGATAATGAGACATCATCTCACACCAGTGAGAATGGCACATATCAAAAATAGTAGGAACAATCTGTGTTGGCAGTAATGTGGTGAAAAAGGAACTCTCATCCATTGCTGGTGGAATGTTGTCTGGTACAAGCCATGTGGAAAACAGTATGGAGAGTTCTCAACAAACTTGGAATTGAGCTGCCATATGACCCATCAATTCCACTTTTTGGCATCTACCACCAGGTCATAAAAACAGTCTCTCAAAAGGACATATGCACACCATTATTTATTGCTGCACTAAGTATAACAGCTAGGATAGGAAATCAATCTAGATGCACAACAACAGACGAATACATTATGAAGATGTGGTATATATACACAGTGGAATATTATGCAGCTGCAAGAAATGATGAAATAATACAATTTGCTGCAACGTGACTGGAACTGGAAAACTTTATTTTAAGTGAAAAGGCCAGATGAAGAAAGGCAAATGCAGGACGGTCTCACTTACCTGTGGTATATAGAATACTGGATGAGGAGACATATTGTAGTAAAAGGAGGAAGCCTAGATCACCCTTGATCCCAGTGTTTAGAGAGGAAAGGACAGTAAAGGAAATAAATCAAGTGGGGGAAGAAGAGAATGAGAAGTAATGGATAAATAGGCATTAGGGCCTCAGTTAAACTGGTGATATGAGTGAGTGGTATAATATATCCAAAACAGAGAGTCAAAACTAAAAACATTAGATCTAAGCAGCACCACTGAAACTTTGTAATGTCTACAGGTGGGGATGGGTAAGGGGGTGGGGTGGGGAGGGAATATGGGAACACTGGTGGAGGGGAGTTGACAATGGTGGTGGAATTGGCATTGAAATATTATATGCCTAAACCTCAACTATCAATAGCTCTGTAAATCAAGTTTTTTAATAAAATTTTTTAAAAAAATTGTGGTATTCTATATTTTTACATCTAGATGGGATAGTTGACTGCTTTGGAAGAGCTGAAAGTTGAAAAGATTTGATAATGCCATACTTGATTTCTTTGATATAATGATAAAAATAGACCAATAAAATTTATTATACATGTATTTGCTGAAATAAGTATAGAAAGACTGCTCATTCTATTTTTGTTTCTGGGTCACAACCAGTGATGCTCAGGGGTTACTGCTGCTGGGGGTAGAATACTGCAAGTGCCCTACATGCTGTTCAATTTTGTAGTCCCTCACTCTCTATTTCAAATTTAATTCTGGCTCCAGTCCAAAGGCTACCTTGTGAGTTCTTTTTTTTTTTAATTTTACTGAATCACCATGAGATTACACGCTTTCATGTTTGGGTGCACATTCCCCACCACCAATGTTTCTGGTATACCCCCCCCCTTTCCCACCCTCCCCCTTTGAGTTATTCGTCGATTGCCTCGAGCAGGACCCAGTAACGTCTCTTTCATCCTAGCCCTGAGATTATGTTCAAGGCTCTTTAGGAGAATGAGACCCATCATTGTTACTGGTATTTGGCATATTTGGTACGCCACGGGGAGTTTGCCAGACTCTGCCCCTTTGAGTATATTCTCCATACTCTCTCTCTACTTTTGGGCATTATGGTTTGCAATACAGACACTGAGAGGTCATCATGTTTGTTCCTTTATCTACTTTCAGCACACATCTCCCATCCCAACCGGTTCCTCAAGCCATCATTTTCTTAGTAATCCCTTCTCTATTCCAGCTGCCTTCTCCCCTTTGCTCAATGAGGCAGGCTTTCAGCTATGGAGCAATCTTCCTGTCCCATGTATCTATTATCCTTAGGTGTCAGCTTCATGTTATGTTGTTTTTATATACCTTGTGTGTTCTAAACTTGGTGTTCCACATCTCAGAAGCTAAGGACATCTTTTTTTTTCTTTTTTGGGTCACATTCGGTGATACTCAGGGGTTACTCCTGGCTCTGAACTCAGGAATTACTCCTGGTAGTGTTTGGAGGACCATATGGGATGCCAGGGATCAAATCTGGGTCAGGCGCCTGCAAGGCAAATGCCCTATCCACTGTACTATCCCTCTGGCCCCAGATAAGGGCATCTTGATCCTATGGTGATTCCAGCAAGAATGGTAGTGTCTTGAATTGCAAAGCAGATTTCCAAACCCACTTAAAATCATCCTGGAAGAGTCTTTGTCCTCTAGGATTACCTAGCCTGGGGTAGGAAAGTCTGAACTGGGTTGGCTCTCTGAGACCTGGAGAGGGACTATGAGTTGGTCAGAGCTTAACATAGTGATCACAGAGTTCTGCACAACTGTGGGGATAGGAGTGGGGTCTCATGTGAGACACCTTTGTTTTCAACACAGCCTGTGAAGTAGAATGTTAGTAAGAGGTTAATAGCCTCCTCATAAGTGGATATGAGAAGGCTGATTTTGGTCCTTTGTTTTCCACTTACCTTACTATTTCCATTATAGTCTTTTTGGGTAGGGCTGAAGTCTCCACAAGTTTCGATAGGATTTCAAACAACAGGATCCCTGTGCTGCCGTCTGAATCTAAACAGGTGTCTTTTCCTAGAAAAATGGAAGGGGAAAAACAGACTTCAAAATGCCATCAGAGACGCAGAGGTAACTTAGAGGACTAGGGTCTATTTTGCATGCACGGGCAGGGTTACATTCCTGGCACCATATGGTAGGGTGTTTGCCTTGTATGTAGCTGACCCACATTTGATCTCCTGCATGCCATACAACCCCTAGAGCCCACCAAAAGTGATCCCTGAGAGCCAGGAGCAAGCCTTGAGTACCTCTGGGTGTGGCTCCAAAACAAAACACAACACAGTATTTATGATATTAATACCAAAGGTCTAGAAAATTAAAATAAACATTAAGTCTGTTTTATTCAGTTGATTTGGTTGCTAAATAGACACAATAATATAGAATAAAAAATGCTTTTAATCCAGTCACTTCTGTTTAACTATATTAAACAGTGATAGCACAACGGTAGGGCGTTTGCCTTGCATGCAGCCAACATGGCCGACCCGAGTTCGATTCCTCCGCCCCTCTCGGAGAGCCCGGGAAGCTACCGAGAGTATCTCGCCCACACGGAAGAGCCTGGCAAGCTCCCCGTGATGCATTCGATATGCCAAACACAGTAACAACAAAGTTTCCAATGGAGACGTTACTGGGCCCGCTCGAGCAAATCGATGAACGACGGGAGGGCCTTTACCTTACCTTTTAACTATATTAATGCCGATAGCACAGTGGGTAGGGCGTTCGCTTTACAAGCGGCCAACATGGCCGACCCGAGTTCGATTCCTCCGCCCCTCTCGGAGAGCCCGGCAAGCTACCGAGAGTATTCAATATGCCAGACACAGTAACAACAAAGTCTCCAATGGAGACGTTACTGGGCCCGCTCGAGCAAATCGACGATCAACGGGAGGGCCTTTACCTTTTATATTAATGCAGTTAAATATGAATTATGTGTTAAGGTCTATTGTTCTGTTCTTCCAAATAATCACTGACAAATACATTTTTGATTTTTTTTTTAGGAAGTAGAAAAGTTTATGGAAAAGAAGAAAAGAAAGGAAAAGGAACTCTCCTAGTAGGGAGGAACTTAACATAGGACTAAGTTTCATTTCTGATTTGTTGTTGTTTTTGGGCCACACCCAGCAGTGCTCAGAGAATACTCCTGGATTGGCACGAAGGGATCACGTTCAGGAGGTATTCAGGGTACTAAATGGGATTGGACCCAGATTAACCAATACAAGATAAACACCCTACCTTTGTACTATCACCCTCATTTCTGATTTGCAGGGAAATCCTGTTATTAGTACTCAGAAGCAGTAACTTCCATTTCTAATAAACAGAGGTTATAGCTCTATAAACATACAACTGAACTATGTTTTATATATTTTATAGGGCACTATTTTTTAAAAAAAAGTACATAAAGTATTTGACACCTGAAATGCTTTTATCCTAGAAAGTATGGTGTGAATAGTGTTTAGATTTTGGTGGTCAGATGAAGGGCAGACCATAAATAGCCTATAAACAAACCTTTAGAAGACTAACAATATTTCAAATATTTCATGTATCATTTATGAGGTGGGTGAGAACAGCCTCACAACCCCTAGTAGGATCTTCAGTCCTTCTAGTGGTGAGTAGCTTCATCAGGATGAAAAGACATTTTCAGAAACAGGAAGTTGTTTATATCTCTAGTTTCATGAGCATTTTTAAAAAAATTTTTGAGTCACTCCTGGCTCTGCACTCAGGAATTACTCCTGGCAGTGCTCAGGGGACCATATGGGATGCTGGGAATTGAACCTGGGTCAGCCATGTACAAGGCAAACGCCCTACCCACTGTGCTATTGCTCCAGCCGCATCATTTTTCTTTTTCTTAAAAAAATTATTTTGCTGTTTTTTTTTGGGCCACATCTGGCAAAGCTCAGAAGTTATTCTCTGGTGGTGCTTGAGGAGGAACCATATGAGATGCCATGGATGGAACCAGAATTTGGACCAACGTGTGCAAGGCAAACGCCCTACTCACTGTACCATTGCTCCAGCCCCTCATAAAGTATTCTTTGCTTTTCAAAGGAAAAGCCTCCCAAAGCAGCTCAAGCACTTGGAAAAGAATTAAAATATTGAGGCTCGGGAGATGCCTCCAAGGGCTGGAGCACATCGTTTGTATGCAAGCAAGCCAGGTTAGATTCTTAGCATCACAGGGTCCCTTAAACACTGCTGGGTGCAAACCTCAAACGCCAAGTTTGGAGTAGCCCCAAAGTATTACTGGGTGTGATAAAAATTAAAATTAAAACAATTTTAATTAAAATAAAAACTAAAATGCTATAAAGGAGATGAAATTTTACTACATTACATGTAGAAACTATGAGTGTTCTTATCAGAGACCAAAAACCAGAGTTTCCTGCAGCAGAACTTTAGACAATGCCTGTGTCTGCTTGGCAGATTTAAAATTCTAAAACTATAAATTTCCTTAGCAAATACTGTTTTTGAGAAACAATACAAAGTCACTCACATCCCAGACTACACCTTCCTGCTTCGTCTCCTAACTGGAAAAGGAAATGAGTACTGTTTGCTCTGCGGTGAGTTGCACCCCCCAGTTGTCATCTATTTGGGACAGTCTCCACTTACCCACAGCTCTCAGGAAGCGGTTCTTATCCGTTAGCACCTTGATAAAGTCGGAGAAACTCACTTTCCCATCTCCTGCAACAGAAATCCAGGTCTCAGAACAAGGATTCAAAATGTATTTTCATTGCCAGAACATACATTAAATATAAAAGTTGAAATACCTCACAATCACTGTTCAATAGTTAAAAATCAGAGAGCATTTTAGGACTGGAGATATACTCAGGTAAGCACAACTATTAAAGAGGTCTTAGCACCTACAGTCCACAGAAGCACTGAAATGGTCACGAAATTAAGGAGTCCCACTCCAGGCAACTGTTCCTTCATTTATTTCCTCGAAGCTTTCTGCTTTCCTACTGATACTATTTTGATTACTATAATCTCCAAACTTCATCCTGTTTCTTTGAAAATAAAAGGCTGGTGAATATTATGTGAGGGGAGTGTATGACAAACAAAAAACCAGAAATGGAGCAGATCATAAAAACAGGTTACATTTTCCTAGTGACACTGGCTCACATGTGACTTTGATGCTGATTGAACTGGACACTAACAGCCTGGTAAGGAGAGAAGAGAAGAAAATACACTGACTATTCCATATAATGTACCAGTGTGTACTGCTCATGACTAAAGCAGAATATTCAATGAAAATATTATCCATATGCCTTTAAAATATCAACAAATATCAACAAAAATGTTATGGTATTTAAAGTATAATGTAGGTGGGGGTATGGTGCAGCCAGCAAGTCAATCTACCTGTGAGGCAAGTGCATCAGCAGCCTGATGGAACCTTCAGACTTCCAAATACCCCCAAATTTCTGCTGTGCCTTTGGCCAGACCCCAAAAACTTGAGGCAAAGTTTACCAAGAAAATAAATGGCCAAAAGTTAGGCATGTGGGAGACACACTCACAAACCACCTCCGGCTCAGCTATATAATTGGAGGCATGGCTTCTCTGGTTCCTGATCAAACTGCTGAACAGCTGTGATCCCAGAGACTCAGAAACAAATCTAGAAACCCAAAGGCTTTTGGCAGAAATGCTTCAGTAGGTTACCAGCGCCGGGTCACCCCAGGTGGGAATAGGTTTTATGCCTTGGCTTGTTCCCCTTGGTGGCTCAGTGGCCGTCATCCTCCAGAGACCATTGGACAGTCAGATTTGGGCCCGCAGTGACAAGGCACGTGGGGCCTCAGAGGATGGGGGTGGAGCCAGCCCTTTCCTCCTGACGGCATCGAGACCCTGAGTCGCCACCTGAGCCTCTCTGGCTCCTGATCAAGCTGCTTATAGGCCATGATCCAGAACTCAGAAACAAATCTCAAAACTCAGCGATTTTTGGCAGAAATGCATCCAGACCCTGCAGTAGGTTACTGTCGTCAGGCCACCCCAGGGGGGAAAGGGTGCTGTCCCTCTGCCTGCTCCCCCTAGTTGGCTCGGTGGCTGCTGTCCTCCAGAGGCCATTGGGCAGTCAGATTTGGCCCCTCAAAGACGAGACACGCAGGGCCTCACGGGATGTGGGTGGAGCTGGTCCTTTCCTCCTGGTCCCAACAAGACTCCAATTCGCCGCCCATGAATGGCTTTTCTCGCTCCTCATCAAGCTGCTTAACGGCCACCATCCACCAGAGGCCATTGGACAGTCAGGTTTGGGCCCGTAGTGATGAGACACACGGGCATCACGGGATGGGGGTGGAGCCGGCCCTTTTGCTCCCCATCCCAATGAGACCCCGAGTTGCCACCCACGAATTGCCTCTCTGGCTCCTGATCAAATCATTTAATGGCCATGATCCCAGAGACTCAGAAACAAATCTCGAAACCTATCGGCTTTTGGCAGAAATGCGTCCGGTCCCTGCAGTAGGTTAATGGCGCTGGGCCAACCCAGGTGGGAATAGGCTTCATGCCTTGACCCGTTCCCCTTGGTGGCCCAGTGGCCCCCATCCTCCAGAGGCCACTGGACAATCAGGTTTGGGCCCGCAGTGATGAGACACGCGGGGCCTCACGGGATGGGAGGTGGAACCGGCCCTTTCCTCCCCACCCCAACGAGACCCTGAGTCGCTGCCCACCAACGGCCTCTCTGGCTCCTGATCAAGCTGCTTAATCACCATGATCCCAGAGACTCAGAAACAAATCTTGGAATCCAGTGGCTTTTGGCAGAAATGCGTCCAGACTCCGCAGTAGGTTACTGTCGCTGGGCCACCCCAGGGGAGAAAGGGTATTGTCTCTCCGCCTGCTCCCCCTAGTTGGCTCGGTGGCTGCTGTCCTCCAGAGGCCATTGGGCAGTCAGATTTGGCCCCTCAAAGACGAGACACGCAGGGCCTCACGGGATGTGGGTGGAGCTGGTCCTTTCCTCCTGGTCCCAACAAGACTCCAATTCGCCGCCCATGAATGGCTTTTCTCGCTCCTCATCAAGCTGCTTAACGGCCATGATCCCAGAAACTCAGGAACAAATCTCGGAACCCAGCAGGTATTGGCAGAAATCCCCCAGATTTATGTGTTAAAATTTTGGAATTTCAAAATCGCGCAGCCACTACTGCAGCCATGTGACATCATATGTTATTCATAACCGGCAATAGAAAATAAATTGTCTACTGTTCCCTTTTCAGCAGATCTGAGTGTTGGGGTAAAATTCCAAATGATAGCTTCTCCCCTCTGGAAAGAAAGATGGCAGCCGCTTGGGAGCCTCGTGGAAAGCCAGGTATGAGCCAGTGGTGACGGGGCGACTAAAACCTCATGGGAATGGGGGCGCTCCGGCCTTGTCCTTCATGCCCTACCGAGGTCACCAGTTGCCCCCCACGAGCGGCTCTCCAGCACGGCCATAGCTCCAGAAGCACAAGGACTTAATGCAGAGCCCAGCAGCTTGGAGCAGAAAAGTGAATGAACTATGCATTAATCCATACCACCATGTCGGCCCGGAGGGGAAAGGGTGGTGGTCCCTTCTGCCTTCTCCCCTCTGGAAAGAAAGATGGCAGCCGCTTGGGAGCCTTGTGGAAAGCTAGGTATGAGCTGGTGGTGACAGGGCGACTAAAACCTCATGGGAAGGGGGGCGCTCCGGGCTCGTCCTTCACGCCCTACCGAGGTCACCAGTTGCCCCCCATGAATGGCTCGCTGGCACGGCCATGGCTCCAGAGCACAGACACCAATCTCTTAATTATCTGACTCTCAGTAGAAATACTTCCAGGGCTAATAAGTAAAATAGCAAAAATCCAAAACCGCGTGGCCGCAATAACGGCCGCGTGACATCATTTAATTCTTGAACCCAGCTGTAGAAAGCAAATCATTTCACAATGCTTTTTCAGCATGTTTGATTTGGGGGGGTAAACTCTAAATAATAATGGTGCATATTTTATCCAAACAATGAATCTAGTCAAAGTAGATAGAGTGTTAACTAGAATTCATCTGCCTCACAGGCATTGGGAGGGGTGGGGGGTGGGGGTTTATTGGGGTTCTTCGTGGTGAAAAATAAGTATTGGTAAAGGGAAATGTGTTCGATATTTGCATGACCGAGACCTAAACCTGAAAGCTTTGTAACTTTTCCCACAGTGATTCAGTAAATAAATTATTTAAAAAATCCCAAATGATAATGGTGGGTCTGGTGTCAAAATATTGAATGCAATTAAACTAGAGAGAGAGCAATGTGGAAATCATCTGCCCCACAGGTAGGGGGAGGGTGTGGGATGGGGTTATACTGGGGTTTTTGGTGTGGAGAATGGGCACTGGTGAAGGTATGGGTGTTTCATTGTATGACCCAGACTTAAGCCCAAAAGCTTTGTAACTGCTCTCACAGTGATTCAATAAATAAAATTATAAAATATGAAAAAAAAGTAAGGTGGAGTTCATGCCCAATTCAATCAGCTAATCAGTGACCGAATAAATAGCAGTACTCCTACATAAAAAAAAGTATAATGTAGGTGGGCTCTAATAATAGAAGGCTTTTATTAATATGCGTCAAGTCTTGGGAATGTATTTACTTGCTTAGTAAATAGCATTTTTGAAAAATTATTGATGCTTTCTTTCGTGTGTTTTTTATTCCTTCCCCCACCCCCTCTTTTGTTTTAGGTCACACCTAGTGATGCTCATGGCTTTCCTCTTGGCTCTGCATGAAGGAATTTCTCTTGGCAATGCTCAGAAGACTATATGGGGTGTTAGGTATCGAACACAGGTTAGCCACGTGCAAGGCAAATGCCCTACCCACTGCATGACCACTCTGGCCCCAGTGATTTTTCAAGGCAAATTCCAAAATGTACATCTTGGGGCCAGAGCGATAGTACAGTGGATAGGGTGTTTGCCTTGCACATGGGTGGCCAGGGTTCAATTCTGGCATCCCATATGGTCCCCAAGCACCACCAGGAGTAATTCCTGAGGGCAGAGCCAGGAGTAAGTCCTGAGCATGGCTAGGTGTGGTCCAAACCCCAATAAACAAATGAATCTAAACAAACAAACTTCCCCAAAATAAAACATCATGATAGGTAATCTAAATTTGAAAATTTGATATAAAAACTTGAGTCAGTTTTAGGTTACACATAGGATTTTTCAATACCATTTTCAAGTTTTAATTTGATTTCATAATTTGTATACATAGCTCATTGATAGGGCTGGAGCGACAGCACAGCCGGTAGGGAGTTTGCCTTGCATGCAACCAACCCGGCTGACCCAACTTCGATTCCTCCGCCCCCTTGGAGAGCCTAGCAAGCTACCGAGAGTATCTTGCCCACACGGCAAAGCCTGGCAAGCTACCCATAATGTATTAGATATGCCAAACACAGTAACTAGTGTCACAATGGGGACATTACTGGGCCCTCTGGAGCAAAAATTGATGAACAATGGGAGGACAGTGACAGTGACAGTGACCTCATTGATACTTAGAAATGTATATATATATATATTTCTTCATAAAACAAGTTCTCATATTTATATTATCACTAAGGGAAAATATATTCATAAAAATTTATGAGAAAAGTGATGACAAGTCAAAGTACTCACGATCAATATCAGCATATCTTAGTTCATTACAGACATCATGCTTGTTTAGATTCATGCCTAACTTTGATAGAGTGCGCATCATTCCATATAAATCAATACAGCCATTTTTATCCTTGTGAAAGAAATTGAAGGCAGTTTTGAAGGCTGGAGAAAATGAAATTTAGTTGAGTTATTCAAGAAAAATACATATTCTAATGAAATTAAGACAGACAGTACAGTTGTTTGGAGAAAATTATATAAATCACGTTTTATGGATGGTGGGCCACACCTGGTGATACTCAGGGGTTACTCATAGCTCTACACTCAAGAATTCTGGTAGTGCTCGGGGGATCATATGGGATGCCAGAGGTCAAATATGGGTTGGCAGTGTGCAAGGCAAACACCCTATTTATTGTGCTATTGCTCCAGCCCCGAAATAAGTATTTTTCAAAGTCACATCATAGACATTTCTTATAAAGCAGTGCTCAGAATTACTTGCTTCTGTGCTCAGGGGGACAAATCTGGGGTACTGGGGATTAAACCTGGTTCGGCCCTGTGCAAGGCAAGTACCCTACCCTATGTACTACTTCTCTGTCCCCTGAGCAGCTATATTAATTGACTTTTGCTTATGCTTTCATTTAGGGGATGATTCTCATTACCTTGTATTTGTGAAGGAGTCAACTTATTTTCAATGCTGTCAAAATGACATGGGAGAAATCCTGATAAATCCTTTTCCCTGAAAAAAATATATGAAAAGATTTAGTGCATAAACAAAGCAAGCAAATATTAGTTCTGTTCATGAGTTGTGCAGATCAGAATAACTGTAGGCATCATAATATGTCTCATCACACTACCTAAGGTAACTCTTACTGCAACTTCTATTAGTGAAAGAGCAGACAGCAAGAAATGGTTTGGCAGGAAGTCCCCTTCTGCCCTGTACTGGTCCATTACTCTTTTTCCATTTTTAACAAGAGGAAACTTAAACTTAAATAAACTTACCTCAAGTAACTCATATAGCAAGTGTAATCCTGTGACTCAAACCAGGGTTACCTGACTCCAAAGCTCAAGGTTGTTAGCCTCATGCTATTTCCATTGTTAGAAATATAAGCTATTTAAAATTACTAAGACATAAATTTATGATGAGTATATCATTACAGTAAAATTTTTCTATTATAATTATTTTACAACCAATTAACAAATTGTGTAAGAGAAGATTTCTCCCTTTCTCTCTTCTGGGTATTATAACACCTTGCATAACATTATTTTTTCAGAAAAATAAAACCTGGAAGGGGCTGGAGTGATAGCACAGCGGGTAGGGCATTTGCCTTGCACACGACTGACCCAGGTTCGATTCCCAGCATCCCATATGGTCCCCTGAGCACCGCCAGGAGTAACTCCTGAGTGCAAAGCCAGGAGTAACCCCTGAGCATCTCCGGGTGTGACCCAAAAAGAAAAAAAAACTGGAAAAATGTTTTTAGGATATTTTGTATATATTTTGTAATTTGTTAGTTCAGCAACATAAAAATGTATTATTCAAAAACTGGGTTTGGGGGCTGGAGCGATATCACAGTGGGTAGGGCGTTTGCCTTGCACGCGGCCAACCCAGATTCGATTCTCAGCATCCCACATGGTCCCCTGAGCACCGCCAAGAGTAATTCTTGAGTGCAGAGCCAGAAGTAACCCCTGTGTATTGCTGGGTGTGGCCCAAAAAGCAAAAAAAAAAAAAAAAAACCCAAAAAACACCTGGGTTTGTTTATAGCAAAAATAATCTTGTAATTGTATAAATTTATTTTATTTAAAACCATTTCACTTTGATACTAGTAGAAGTAAAAGTTTTATGAAAAGGCTGAGGATGTGGCTCAGCAATAGAGTACTTGCCTTGCATATGTGTATAGGGTTCCATCCCTGGAACTGCAAAAAATAAATAAAATGTTATAAGAAAAAGGGTTTTAAAATATGCAACCTCTTATATTTCTGTGACTTTTGTTGGGGCCTCCTAAACAGTGTTCAGGGGCGATTTCTGGTGCTACTTGGTCAATAGGTCCAGCAATTTAACATTTTAGTGGTGCTAGTGGTGCTAGGGGATACCAGGGCCAACCCAGCAGTGCTTAGGGGCTTGCAGGGCTACACCTGGCTTTCCTCAGGAGACCATTTAGTGTCAGGGATAGAACTAGAAGCCTGTGCATACAAGGTTCATGAACCCTGAGCTATCTTCCTTGCTCCAATTTTTGTGCTTCTATGAGAACTAGTTAAAAAGTATCACAGAGAAAGAAAACAACCAGTGTTGGGATGAATGTGGGGGAAATGGAACCTTCATCCACTGATGGTGGGAATTTTGACTGGTTGAACCTTTTTGGAAAAGGATATGGACACCCCTCAAAAAACTTAGACTTGAGCTTTCACATGCAACTCCACTTTGGTGGATCTACCTCAAGGGTCAACAAATTCTACTCAGAAGACATTTATGTGCCTATCTTTATGGCACTATTACTCACCATATCCAATATCTGGAAAAACCCAAGTGTCCAAGAAGATGACTGATTAAAGAAACTATGATATAATATACAATGGAATACTATTTGGCTATAAGATGAAATCAAGCAATTTGCTGCTACATGGGCGGAACTGGAATGTATTATGCTGAAAGAAATCAGTCAGTAGTGTGTGTCTCTGTGTTTGTGTGTGTGTGTGTGGAGATACAGAATGATCTCTCTTATATTTGGAATATAAAAACATATAGTGCTGGAGCGATAGCACAGCGGCAGGGCATTTGCCTTGCACGCAGCCAACTTGGTCAACCTGATTCGATTCCTCCATCCCTCTCAGGGAGCCCGGCAAGCTACTGAGAGTATCTCGCCCGCACGGCAAAGCCTGGCAAGCTACCCGTGACGTATTCTATATGCCAAACACAGTAACAACAAGTCCCACAACGGAGACATTACTGGGCCCGCTCAAGCAAATCTATGAACAATGGGAGGACAGTGCAGTGCTATAGTAAGAAACAACAAATGGCCCAAAGTAACAGAACCTAAAACTGGTTTACAGAACAAAGATTACCAGGGCAGTGAGATGTGAGGAGTGAGGAGAGGGCAATTCCACCGCCCTCTCAGAGAGCCTGGGGAGCTACCGAGAGTATCTCGCCTGCACGACAAAGCCTGGCAAGCTACCCGTGACATATTCAATATGCCAAACACAGTAACAACAAGTCTCAAAATGGAGACGTTACTGGGTCCGCTCGAGCAAATCAATGAACAACGGGAGGACAGTGCTACAGTGCTACTTTGATTAATATTTATTGAAAAAAATGCAATAATGAAATAGAAAGTTCTTAAAATTTTTTGAGGACATTTTAATAATGTTAAAATTTATGGTATTGATATGTAAAATTACTACACGCAATCACTACCAACGTACAGTTTTTTTGTTTGTTTGTTTCATTTTGCTTTGGGCAAAGCTGAGGGTTTACTCCTGGATCCACACTCAGCAAAGCTAAGGGGTTACTCCTGGATCTACACTCAGGAATTATTCCTGGAGGCGCTTGGGGGACTATATATGGGATATCAGGATTGAACGAAGGTTGGCCATGTGCAAGGCAAGCACCCTACCCTCTATACTATCTCTCTGACAACCCCAAAGTGCAAATTTTAAGAAGAAGCAAATAGAAGGTCAGGCAAGGTAGTCTAACACTGGAAAAAAAAAAAAGATTCTTCAGGTGCCAGAGGGACAGTACAGGAGGTAAGTCATGTTTGGTCCCCTGAACACAGCTAGGGGTGATTTCTGAGCAGAGTCAGGAACATCCCCTGAACATAGCTGGAGGTGCCTCCACCATCTCTGCTCCACCTCCTCAATGAAAAAAGGACATTCTGAGGTCCAGAAGATGGTTTAGTGGCTTAAAGCGCTTCCAAAGCAAGTACAAGGCTATGGATTCAAGCCCCACTGCTCCCCAGTGTGCTGAGGATTGCTACCTCCATATGGGGAGAAACAAAAATTTTTTTTCCAAACCTCATCTTAGACTGAACGTGGAAAGATCTTTTTATTCTTATAATATTTCAAAGGTTTGAAGCACCTTAGTTCTGTAATGAATCCAATCTAGCCTCTCATCTCATATAGGAATTTGCTTTGCATGTGATATTATCTTGTCTTCGCTTAACTACTTGTAGTGATAAGAGTTTATAATGCAAAGTATAAGAACAATGAAATCAATAGGTTTGACTGCCAAAAATTTATTCTTTTCTCATCCTTCTAGACAGTTGTTAATATATTCCAGTGGCACAGTCAAGAACATTAAAAGAAATAATCTCAGTGACAAAGAAAACTGATCAAATAAAACACAGATCTAACTTTCACTTTCAGTAATTAGTGACAACTATTGATTAGTAGTCACTTAAGAGAACTCTATGGTTAATGTTACAAGACAACTTGTTTTCAATTTTAGCCCAAAGTCAATTGTGGTCAATTTACTAGATTTCGTTTTACTGGTCACATCTGAATTAAAGATCTTTCTTTCTATAATACTCTGACTAGTTTAAGGATTTGGGTATATCTTATAATCCAGTAAGTTTATTCTCCTTCTAACTGGCACAAAAATATCTTGATTTATAATGAAAACTGTTTACATTTTTGTTTTGGGGTCACACCCAGCAGTGCTCAGGCTTTACTCTGGCTCTGAGCTCAGGGATCACCTCTGGTGGTCCTCAAGGGACCATATAGGGTACCAGGGACCAAAAACTCATGTCAGATGTATGCAAAGCAAATGTCGTACCCTCTGTACTATATCTCCAGCTCAGTAATGATAACTATTTTGAAAAATATAACAGTTATACCCTGAAGTGCTGGAGGTACCTAGGGTCAGGTCAGAAAATGCTTTGGGGGTGTGATGTAGTGTCAGGGCCTTGTACATGCCAGGCACATGCTTGACCACTTTAGATATCTTCTTATCCCTAATGAATAGAACTGGCATTGACTATGAAACTTAGAGTTTTTCATTTTCCTCCCCATAGAATTTTAATTAGGAATTCTGCCACCACCTAATGATAACTTAAGTCTACAAATGTATTCTGATCCCTCACAGAAATATGTCATTTGGGAGGACAGGAATGATAACTTTTTGCTTAAAAAACGAATATATTTCCTTTCTTTTTTCTTGCAGGTGGGGAGGTTGGGCTATACCTTTTGGTGCTCAGAGGCGATTCCTGGTTCTTTGCTTAGGAGTAACTGGCAGTGCTCAGGGGACCATATGTGGTGCCAGGAATAGAACTGGCACTGACCACATTCAAGGCAAAGAAATACATCCTGTATTATCTCTTCTGCCCTATATTTTCTTTTTTTTAATAACAATTATCATTTGGCCTAAAGAAACAATACAGTAGCTGAGAGCACCTGCCTTGTAACCTTGCAAACATGTGGTCATGAGTTCAAAGTCCTGGAGTCCCACATGCACTGAGTGTAATTCTGTTATCTCTGCTGTTTGAGCCTTGCAGCCCTGCTGTTTGTGATCTCTGGAGCTGCAGGAGATTTTCAGTATCACTAAATTCGGGTAGTGATGCCACATTAAAGTATCACAAAAAGGACACAATGTGAACCCTTGTGAGAACCACTAAAACTGTATGAGGGAACCATACTCAGGAAAGGTGACCTGGTGAGCATGTACGTGAGCAGCACAGGGACCCCTGGGAAAGTACTATGGGGGGGGGATGGGAGTGTTAACACCATCATCAGTTGCATGTACAACTTTCAGTCATTAAATAACATCAACGACAATGAAGGGAAGGGGGAAAGGAAATAAAACTTTATCTTAGATTCAGGTATTTTGTTTTATAGATAAATTATCAGAATAGATATTAGAAGAACATTCTAATTTACTTCACCTTAGTCTTTATGATCATTTATCACTTTAGTAGTCATTTTTTTTTTTGCTTTTTTTGGGTCACACCCAGCAATGCACAGGGGTTACTCCTGGCTCATGAACTCAGGAATTATTCCTGGTGGTGCTTGGGGGACCATATGGAGTGCTGGGAATTGAACCCGGGTAGGCTGCATGCAAGGCAAATACCCTACCCACTGTGTTATCACTCCGGCCCCAGAAATAATTTTTTTTAAAATTTTAATGTAAAATTTACATTAAACATTTATTTATTCAGACATTGATTAGGCTGATTGAATTGGACATGAACTCCACCTTACTCTTTTTCTTTTTTATAAATTTATTTATTGAATCACTGTGAGAGCAGTTACAAAGCTTTTGGGAAGCTTGGTCATACAATGATGAAACACCCGTCCTTTCACCAGTGCTCATTTTCTACCACCAAAACCCCCAGTATACTCCCCATCCCACATTCTACCCCTACCTGTGGGGCAGATGATCTCTACATTACTCTTTCTCTCTCTCTCTACTTTGATTACGTTCAATATTTCTACATCAGACCCACCATTATTATTTGGGATTTTACCCAACACTCAGATCTGCCAAAAAGGCAACCATATTTGGAAAACAGTATGGACGTTTCTCAAAAAATTAGAAATTGAGCTCCCATTTGACCCAGCGATACCACTCCTGGGAATATACCCCAGAGAGGCAAAAATGTGTAGTCGAAGTGACATCTGCACTTGTTTGTTCATTGCAGCACTGTTTACAATAGCCAGAAACTGGAAGAAACCTGAGTGCCCAAGAACAGATGACTGGTTAAAGAAACTCTGGTACATCTACACAATGGAGTACTACGTAGCTCTTAGAAAAGATGAAGTCATGAAATTTACATACAAGTGGTACAATATGGAAAGTATCATGCTAAGCGAAATGAGTCAGAAAGAGAGGGATAGACATAGAAAAATTGCATTCATCTGGGGGATATAAAGCAACAAAATATGAGATCAATACCTAAGAATAGCTGAGATCAACACCAGGAGGATTACTCCATAACTTAGAGGCCAGCCGGATATTCTAGGGGAAAGGGCAGTTCAGATAGAGAAGGGAACACCAAATGAAAGGTGTTTGGAGGATCCTCCCAGGAGGGGAAATGCATGTTGAAAGTAGACTATGGACTGAACATGATTGCCACTCAATGCCTCTTTTGCAGACCACAACACCCAAAAGGAGAGAGAGAACAAAGGGGAATGCCCTGCCACAGAGGCAGGGTGGGAGGGGGGTTGGGGGGAAATGGGCACTGGTGGAGGGATGGGTATTTGATCATTGTATGACTGAAACTCAGGCACAAAGATTTGTAAATCTACAACTGTACCTCATGGTGCTTCACTAATAAAAAAAAAAGGCAACCATAGCCAATTTGTTTTCTATTGTTGGTTATGAATAACATATGATGTTGCATGGCCACAGTAGTGGCCATGTGATTTTAAAATTCCAAAATTTTAATAACTAAATCTGGAGGGATTTCTGCAAAAACCAGCTGGGTTCCGAGATTTGTTCCTGAGTCTCTGGGATCATGGCCGTTAAGCAGCTAGATCAGGAGCCAGAGAGGCCGTTCGGGGGTGGTGACTTGGGGTCTCATTGGGATGGGGAGGAAAGGGCCGGCTCCACTCCCATCCTCTGAGGTCCCACATATTTTGTCACTGCAGGCCCAAACCTGACTGTCCAATGGCCTGTGGAGGCTAGTGGCCACCAAGCACCAAGGGGGAGCAGGCAGAGGGACAGCATCCTTTCCCACCTGCGGTGGCTCGGCAACCGTAACCTACTGTGGGGACCAGACACATTTCTGCCAACAGCCATTAGGTTCCGAGATTTGTTTCTGAGTCTCTGGGATGATGGCTGTTAAGTTTGATCAGGAACCAGAGAGGCCTTGCCTCCAATTATATAGCTGAGTTGGAGGTGGTTTGTGGGTGTGTCTCCCATATACCTAACTTTTGGCCATTTACTTTCTTGGTAAACTTGTACCCAAGTTTTTGGGGTCTGGCCAAAGACACAGCAGCAATTTTGGGGTATCTAGAAGTCTGAAGGCACCATAAGGTTGCTGACGCACTCTCCTCACAGGTACAGATTGACCTGCTGGCGGCACCATACCCCATTTATCTTAACGTATTTATAATTTTAATTCATTACTTACGTCTTGGTACTGTGGGAACTTTTTGTTAGAGGACTAAGTTTAAATTTTCCTCTACAATCAGCAACTTGCATTTGGTCAGTAACACTGGAATTCAGAAGAGACAATTAGAGATCAAAGCACAGATTAATTTCTCTATATTATTTTGTAACTTTCCAAGTTCAAGAATTGGAGTTTGCAATCCAGGGCTTCAAGGAATAGACATATATGAAGATCCAAATTGGAACTCTGATAAAAGTTGAAAGGCCATATGGAGAACTCCTTTACCCTCCCTAGATTGCTAAGCAAAATTTCTTGCTACTGCTTCCCTTTTGAATTGTGAAATTCCAATGGCACTACATAAAAATAAATGGTAACAAGTGTTCCAAGTAAAACATCCTGAAAACACATGAAAAGTTAGAGGCAAAACTAATTTTTCAAATTAGTTTAACATTTCTTGTCATGAGAGATTTAAATCATATGGTATTTCTAAAATATTTACCTAATTATGTGAATCTTTGAAACCTACCTGATAATAAGCAGACTTTTTCAGGATTTCCTTCAGAGAAGTTCACTTCTGCCCTGTCAGTTTTTATCCCACTGTATTTCTTAAAAGTAGGAATGAGATACAGGATACAGTGACAGTGCTGCTCTGCTATCCTAGGCCATCCTGAGTGGGCTCTTAACCTCCCTCAGTGGCTGCCCTAACTCTTTCTTTGCACTTCTGCATGGTCTGAGAATCAGGGCTTATGGATCTGAAGTTGGGTTGGCAGGGACTCCAGTTGTCTTTTTCTTTTTCTGTTCAATGTCAAGAGTCAAGACCAGGGCCTCACAAACACAAAGTGAGTCCACTGGGCCACTTCCCTGGTGACTTATATTTTCAAAATATGCATCATTGACACATTTGGTCATTGACAAGAAAGCTGAATTTCTGGCTTAGGAAGAAGAAGCAATAAAATATTAAGCTGTGAATAAAAAGTTTCTAAATGATTAGCATCTGGTTCATTTTCTCAGGTCTTCTCAGAGTCTGTAGAGCAGCTGTTAGCTCTAAACAACTGAATGATTTAGTAAATATCTAGAAACTTACCACAGAGCAGGAAACTCAGGATTAGTAATTCAGACACTTGAAAAGAGCTGTGTAGTCATTCTTGTGACTCAGAATAATCATTACTTAAAATAGTTACCTTCAATATTTCATAGAGAAGACGTACTTGAAAAAATAACTATATTTCTATAAAATCTGAGAATTTACCTTCTTTTAAGCTGTGCTTCTTACTATTTCTGGGCTCCAGTTAAATCAAGAATCTAATAAAGGGTTTGTTCCATCATACAACTGTGACCTCATACACTACTCAGTCTCAGGTCAGGATCTGAAGGATATGTAAGCTGCTTTCAGTTTTAGAGCCATTGAGATTTCAAACCAGTTCATTTAGCACCCTGGGATTATGCGAGGATGAGAATTACATTATTACATTATTACAATATTTTTATACTTGGGATTTGAGGAAAAGAAAAGTTTTAAAAATCTGTATTAACACACTTTCATGTTAAATATTAATGAGTTGAAAGCTGTAGAAAATTTTACTTTCTTTAATGATGCTAAGAACCATTTGATTATTTAACTCACATGTGGCATTTGGATAAAAAAAAAAGATGAACTAAATTAAAAACAAAAGAGCGTTGGGATTCTAGCATCAATTAGTGATTACCAGAACAAAAGAGGAAAGGGTGTAGACAAAACAAGACAAAGGAGCCCAATGTATGATGGACAGAATAGGGCTTTCTGGGGAGAACTTAATTTTGAGCGACACACACTAAAATATATGCTGCTACAATATGATGTTGCTTTAAGAAAAAAAGATTAGGGAAAAATACACAGCATTGTTTTCATTTATTAATTTTAATTTAATTTTTTGCTTTTTGGGTCACACTCGGCGATACTCAGTGCTTAATCCTGGCTCTGCACTCAGGAATTACTCCTGGCAGTGCTCAGGGGACCATATGCAGTTGCCCCGTCACCACCGGCTCATACCTGGCTTTCCAAAAAGCTCTGAGGTGGTGGCCACCTTGTATGCGGTCCAGATGCATTTCTGTCAAAAGCCGCTGGGTTTCATTTGAGATTTGTTTCTGAGTCTCTGGGATCATGGTCATTAATTAGCTTGATCAGGAGCCAGAGAGGCCGTTTGTAGGCGACGACTCGGGGTCTCATTGGGATGGGGAGGAAAGGGCCAGTTCCACCCCCATCTGGTGTGGCCCCACGTGTCTCATCATTGCAGGTCCAAACCTGACTGTCCAGTGACTCTGGAGGATGGCGGTCACCGGGCTGCCAGGGGAACAGGCCAAGGCACAAAACCTATTCCCACCTGGAGTGGCCCAGCCCCAGTAACCTACTGCAGAAACAGGATGCATTTCTGCCAAAAGCCTTTGGGTTCCGAGATTCGTTTGAGTATCTGGGATCATGGCTGTTAAGCAGTTCGATCAGGAACCAGAGAGGCCATGCCTCCAATTATATAGCTGAGCTGGAGGTGGTTTGTGAGTGTGTCTCCCACATACCTAACTTTTGGCCGTTTACTTTCTTGGTAAACTTTGCCCCAAGCTTTTGGGATCTGGCCAAAGGCACAGCAGCAATTTTGGGGTATCTGAAAGTCTGATGGTGTCATCAGGCTGCTGATGGACTCACCTCACAGGTACAGATTGACCTACTGGCAGCACCATGTCCCCTAGACTTACAAATTTTTGTGCTTGGGTTTCAATTATACAATGATCAAGTACCCATCCCTCCACCAGTGCCCATTTTCCACCACCACGGATCCCAGTATCCCTCCCACCCCTTGCCCCTCCCCCCGTCCCACCCTGCCTCTGTGGCAGGGCATTCCCTTTTGTTCTCTCTCTCCTTTTGGGTGCTGTGGTTTGCAAAAGAGGCACTGAGTGGCAATCATGTTCATGACCAGAGAATTTCACTCATGTATTTACTGAAGAGAATGAAGATATGTTTATAAAATACGTGTATGAAAACAACTTCATTGCCTTTTTATTAACAAAAAAAAAAAAAAACCCAAACTGTAACAAACCAGTTGTCCCCCAAATGTGGAATATACAGACAAATTATGAGTATTTGTACAATGGAAATACTGGGAATAAAAAGAGAATGCATTATTGATCTATATATAAAAAAAAAACTGTTTCACTGTTGAAACCCAGGATGCATGACCAAAAACAACAGATTTGGACTGGGAATGAGGCTAGGCAGTAGAATTTATGCCTCACACATTTGAAACTCCAGAGTAACTGGAGTTAGTTACTCTGGAGAACGTGGCAGGTTACCAAAAGTATCCTGCCCACAAAGCAGAGTCTGGCAAACTCCCTGTGGCGTATTCAATATGCCAAAAACCGGTAAAAATGATGGGTCTCATTCTCCTGAGTCTGAAAGAGCCTCGAATGTGGCAATTTTTTAAATCTCAGGGTTAGGACGAAGGAGACATTACTGGGGCCTGCTCGAGGCAATCGATGACCAACAGGATGACAGTGATACAGTGATACATTTGAGAACTGGGTTTAATCCTTGGCACCACAAAAACAAAAGAAAACAAAAAGCGATAGGCTTGTAGTCTAGAATATGAAAATGGCAACATAAAAAGAGCAAAGGTTATGATTTAATCAGAAACCATATTTAAGATATGACATGTCTCATAACATTGTAAATTTTCTAGGTTTGGTACATCTTCAGTCTTTATTAAAGTACAGACACCTTTGGCATCTATGGCTTAACTTGATTCCCTAAAATTGTTTCAGGCTCCACACAATGCCCAGTATTTAAGGGCTGTGCCTCCTGCTCTGGGACATGATTTATTTTAAGTATAATTGAATGTGTCTCTACTTTGTTAAGGATTACTAGGATTTAATAGAGTAAGTTCTGAGCACTGCTGGGTATAATCCCAAAACTCTGCAAGACATAAAAGTAAACAAAAAAATAAAAAGGGTTATGATAATGTTACAATTGAATGGTATGCTTGAGAAGTAAAATTTTATCATTATATTGTTTTATTTGAGAGGGTAGAAGGTATCATTTTTAAAAACCTGTAACAAAATATACATAAAATTTAAAATCTTAATGTTTGTGTTTTGGGGCCACACTCCACAGTGCTTTGGGTCTTCTCCTGGTTCTGTGCTCAGGTGAAGCTCCAGGGACCATATTCGGCTTTGGATTAAATCTGGTCAGCTATGCGCAAGGTCTTAATCCCCATACTAATTTTTGCTATGTATTATTATTATTATTATTATTATTGGGCTGGAGTGATAGCACCATGGTAGGGCATTTGCCTTGCATGCAGCCAGCCCGGTAGAGCCGGGTCCAATTCCTCCGCCCCTCTTGGAGAGCCCGGCAAGCTACTGAGAGTATCTTGCCCGCACAGCAAAGCCTGGCAAGCTACCCGTGATGTATTCAATATGCCAAACACAGTAACAAGTCTCAAAATGGAGACGTTAGTGGGCCCGCTCAAGCAAATCGATAAACAACGGGAGGACAGTGCCTGGCTCTGCACTCAGTTTTTACTCCTGGCAGGGCTGGGGGACCATATGGGATGCTGAGGATCGAGTCCAAATCAGTCTAATGCAAGGTGAAAGTCCTGACTGCAGTACTATCACATTGGCCAGTATCTCTATATTCCCTTTTCAAAATTTGTTTTCTTTGCCATGCTATTGTTTATATAAGCAATAAAGTATACTTGGAATAAGGCATGCTTTAAGATTTAGATACAATAGTGGGGCTGGAGCAATAGTACAGCAGGTAGGGGATTTATTTGCCTTCCATGGTGTCAACCCAGGTCCCTTCTCTGGCACCCCATATGAACCCCAGCCCCACCCAGAGTGATCCCTGAACACAGAGCTCAGAGTAATTCCAAGCACTGCTACATGTGGCAGTTTCTCCACCCCCCGCCCCCTCCCCCCAAAGAAATGAAAGTCATCTATAGCACTGTCTGTAGCACTGTCTTCCCATTGTTCATCATTTTGCTCGAGCGGGCCCAGTAACGTCTCCATTGTGACTTGTTGTTACTGTTTTTGGCATATCAAATATGCCACAGGGAGCTTGCCAGGT